TCTAGGGATGCAAAGCAAGTGAGATGAACTTTATAGGATAAGGAGAGCCATGGGAGAAGTGGGGGGGGGAGAGATCTCCTGCGCATCAGGCCCGGCTCAACTGGTCTGTCTGTCTGTCTGTCTGTCTGTCTGTCTGTCTGTCTCTCTCTCTCTCTCTCTCTCTCTCTCTCTCTTTCTGTGTGTGTGTGTGTGTGCCTGTCTCTGTCTCTCTCTGCCTTAGGCCCAGTTCCTTTCCCTTCCAGGCCACCCCCTCTGCCCCAGTCCGTTGGCGGAGTAGAGGAGGAAAACAACAAAGGCCGGAGAGTTACTTTTGCGCATTGGGATGTGCTGCTGTGTGGGTCAAGCCAGGCCCAAGAATCACGCTAGGAGCCCTGCAGATCCTTTGCCACGCTACCTTCACTCACTCATGCCGGGGAGAAGCAACCCCGCTACCTTTCGGATACCCCCCTTTTCTCCATCTCCAACACCGCGCCCCCACCGTCTCTCTCTCTCTCTCTCTCTCTCTCTCCCCGCTTACAAACCAAACGCAACCTCCCCGCCACCAAAGTGGTGGTGGGGGAACAAAAAAACAAAAAAACAAAAAACACCATTCCCAAACCACGCGCGCGCAGGCTTTCAACAACGCGACCCCGAAGCCTCTGCCTTCACAAAGGCGACGCCGCCGCGGCCTCGTCCTTTTCCACGACCACCGCCACCCTCTTCTCCAGCCCCTTTCCCTCCTTCGGCTTTCCAGGCCGCTACCCCCTGTTTTGAATTATATCTTTGCAGGCAGGGTGCGGGCAGGGAGAAGCCCGCACACACACACGCGCGCGCGCGCGCGCACTCAGCGGAGGAAGAGAAAGAGAAGGGGAGAGAAAGAGAAGCCGGCGGGGGGGGGGAGGCGAGCGCGCGCAGAAAATACCCAGACAAGCAGCCGGACGTTGGGATAAAAAAAAAGAGAGAGGGAGAGAGAGAGAGTAAAAGCTACGGGTTTCCCCCCCCCGGCTTTGTCGGCTGCAAACGGGGTGGTCGAGAAAGAAAACCAGGGGAGGGGGCGCCTCTCCAGAGCCGAGAGAGAGAGAGAGAGAGAGAGAGAGAGAGAGAGAGAGAGAGAGAGAGAGAGAGAGAGAGAGAGAGAGAGGGCAGATGTTCTGGCCAGATTTTTATTTTATTTTTTAAATCGGCCTCTCTCTTCATCGACCCTAATTCCGGCGCATGCATATATTATATACACAGATGTGCATGCCTGTTTATATGCACACATACGTTCTCCTTCCTAAACAGCTATGAAATTGACTCGGAAAGCTCGGGGGCCAGAGCGGTCGGCTCTCAACGGCAATAAGAGGGAAGAAGGAGCAGCCCAAACTGAAAAAAACACCTTCAAACAATAAGCCCCTTCAGCAGGTTTAGCTTTTCCTAACGCGAATCTTTTTATAGTTCGAAGAGGTTGAACTCAATTCTTGCTCTCAGGTGATTTAAAGGGGAGGGGGGAGGGGGGGAAGAGAAGCTTTTTGACCGGCCTTAGATATGCTTTTATACTATATATTCGGCTGGGAAAGAAAATAACCAGAGGTTGAGAAATTGCATATAAGGAAGGCTGTCCATTTAAAAAGCAAGCAAAAACACAGGCTCCCCCCCCCCCGCAATATAGTCGCAATTCCACGCTAATAATTCTTAGCTCCTTGGCTAGGATGTGAATTTATTAGGCCTCCGCCAGTCTCAGACGGCGGATCTAATCGCAGATTACAATACTACTAATAAAAGATTAGGGTGAAAGATGCTGGAATTGCCCTCCACACACACACCCAAAAAAAAAAAAAAATGCAACTTTTTTTGGTTACTTTGTAAAAATGTTTTTATTTGGATCTTTTTGTGTGTGTATGTCTTTACAACAATAAAATATTGCATCAATATAAAGCCCCTTGACTAAAAGCGGTTGACAATCAAACATCACAAGTGGATCTCTCTCTCTCTCTCTCTCTCTCTCTCTCTTTTTGTTTGTTTGTTTAATTTATTTTGTTTTAAGCCTTCCTTCCCTCCGCGACAGACAAATCGCTTCGGGTATTCTTAATTTTTTTTTATTTGATTTTTATTACTTTTTTTTAAACATAATGCGGAATTTATTGAAAATAAATAATTGTCGGCAATTGCAATAGGCAATTTGGAATAAAATAGTTGAAAAAGCAACCTTTAATGAAAATAGCGTTTATTATACCTCAGTTACTAAATGAATAATCTAAATGATTTTTTTTCTTTTAAATTAATAACTTCCCAAAAAACGTTTAGAATATACAAAACTGTACAAGGTTTTTTTTTGTTCTTTTTAATAATTATTTAATATAAAGTTGGCAGAAAGATAGCGGGGGTTCTTCCCTGCTGAGTCTTTAAAAGCATATTCCTTGTGGAGCATTATGTGGGTTGGGGAACAATTTTTTTTTAAAAAAAAAGTCTTGCGAACAGAAAAAGTGGGGAAAAATGAATTTGGAGAATCAGTCCTTTTGAGGAATTGGCAATGCTTTCTAAAAAGGGAAAATAAGGTCGGGGGGGGGGACTTTTTATTTTTAATTTAAAAAGGCCCAACCGAGGGGCGGAAGAAAAAAACAAACAAACGTTTTCTGGATTTTTAGGATCGCTTCCAGATTCCCAGAATGGCAGCAGTCTGCTTTGCCAGGCACGTGGAGAAACAATGCGCGAGAGATTCAAACCTCTGCGGGGTTTTGTTTTGCCGGGAACAAGGTATATATATATCTGTGTGTTTGTGTATGTGTGTGTGTATCTCTTACACACACACACATGCACACACATTTGCTGGGCCCCGTGTAGGCAAAGACACCAGACAATGCACCAGGGGTCTGCGGATGCGCGTGCAACTCGCTCATCCGCGCTTTTGTAAACTCACACATCAAATTATACCGGCCAATCCTAATCCCAGCTAGTTCCTATCCCAGATTCCTTTTTTTTTTTTTTTTCCTTTAAGGAAAGAAATTTCTCAGCAGAACCATCTGCTCGATTCCTTTTCTTGGGGAGGCCCCGGTTTAAACCCCTACAATGAAACAAAATCTTTTGGGATCACATCAGACATTTCCTCCACACCGCCGCCCCCAACAGCACGCGTTCATCAAACAGTCCCAGAGCGAGGGTCTATTTTCCCCCCTCCTCCCCCGCGACCCCCAATTCTTCCCCGCTTCTCTTGGACCTTCCGTCTCTCGCCCATCTTTTCTCCATCATTTCAACCCAGCCGTATTCCTTCCGGCTCCCTTTGAAAGGCAAGGCAAGGCAGGCACGAGGTGGTATTCCGAAGCCAGAGATCCGAACTGGAGAACGGGGAAAAAGGGTTTTAAGTACAGACCGTAACGCTTCAGGTGCCGGCCAGGGAGGGGATCCTGTTGAAGAGCCGCAAGAGGACCAGGAAAAAAAAAGGAAAGAAAAAAAAAAAACTGGCTTTCGATTTTTAAGGAGGGGATCTTGAACTTTGGGAATTGTTATTATTTTCTTAAAAAATAAATCTGTGCCGAGAGGGCCCAAAGCAGAGAAGGAGACGGCCAGCCAAACGAGGGAGACGGGAGAGGAGGAGAAGGAGGGGTGTCCCCCCCCCTTGGAAAATGTCCGTTTTGACATTGTACAAATTCTGAGCGGCGTTCAGCAGAAGGAAAAAGGCAACCAACGCGGCTTGAGGGCGGCCTAGTCGCCGCGCGTTCCTCTCTTTGGGGGAAAAGAAAACCACAAGAGCTCCAGCTGGGTCTTCCTCCGGGTGAGGACTGGGGGAATTCCGGACGCCACTTTTTCTCCATGATGAGACGGGTCTTGGGGGGGGGAGGGAGGGAGGGAGGGAAAGCGGGGCGGAGGTGAAAGGAAGGGCCGGTCAATGGGAAGCAAACGTGGGGTCCTAGATGGAGGACACCCTTTCTCGGACCTTCACAAGGTCTCCAGAGCGAAGGGTCATTTTTAGCAACGAGCAAAGTCCAGCCAAGCTTTTTTTTTTTTTTTAAAGTCTGTCTTAAAACGAGATTCGTCACCTGAAATACACCGGAGCGGACCAAGGCGCTGAAAGGTTATTCATAGGCACGTCTTGTCTTTCTTCTTTTCTTTCTTTCTTTCTTCTTTTCTTTCTTTCTTTCTTTCTTTCTTTCTTTCTTTCTTTCTTTCTTTCTTTCTCGGATCTAGAGATCACGATTTCCCTTTTTCTATCGGCGATGGGGCGAGGGGGAAGCTTTGCTATTTAAGCACAGAAAATAGGCGCTGGGAGAGGGGAAAAAAAAATACATTATAGCCAGGGGAAAAAAAAAAAGACGGGAGGGGGGGAGCTCGCTGGCTTCCCACGCCCTTCCCCCCTTCCTACCGCTTTTCTGTTGTTGGCCTTGTGAGGATGCCACGGCAAGGAAGAAGAAAAGTGTCTTTTTTTTTTTTTCTTGAGGAGATGGTTGTTTAATCTGTGTAGAGGCTGAGTAAGTCAGAAAATCCTGGCGGGAGGGAAGGAAGGAAGGAAGGAAGGAAGGAAAAGATAGAAAAGAGGAAAGGAAAGAAAGAAAAATAGAAAGGAGGGAGGGAGGGAGGAAAGGAAGGAAGGAGTAATAGAAAGGAGGGAAGGAAGGAAAAGATAGAAAAGAGGAAAGGAAAGAAAGAAAAATAGAAAGGAGGGAGGGAGGGAGGAAAGGAAGGAAGGAAAAATAGAAAGGAGGGAGGGCGGAAGGGAAGGAACGAATAATAGAAAGGCGGGAAGGAAAGAAAAAATAGAAAAGAGGGAAGGGAGGGAGGGAAGGAAGGAAGGAAAAAATAGGAGGGAGGGAAGGAAGGAAGAATAGAAAGGAAGGAAGGAAGGAGGGAGGGAAGGAAGGAAAAATAGAAAGGAGGAAGGAAGGAAGGAAGGAAGGAAGGAGGGAGGGAAGGAAGGAAAAATAGAAAGGAGGAAGGAAGGAAGGAAGGAAGGAAGGAGGGAAGGAAGGAAGGAAGGAAAGGGGGGAAGGGACAACGCCATGAGGTCAACCCCCGCCCGCCCGCCCGCCCGCGCGCCCGTCCGGCCGGCTGCGCCGTTCCCCCGGGTCCCGAGCGGGTGGGTCACAGTCAAAGGTCGTGACACGAGGGGTCCGTTTTCCCGCCGTGCGCGTAGACTTCGTGGGGCTGGGGCGGCTCGCCCGGCGGCGTCATGCGCTTCTCTTTCTGCCGCCGGTTGCAGAACCAGACGCGCACTACCTCCTTCTCCAGCTGCAGGCTGTCGGCCAGCGAGGCGATCTCCTGGGCGGCCGGCTTGGGGCACTTCAAGAAGTGCGTCTCCAGCACCCCCTTGACGCTCACCTCGATGGAAGTCCGCTTCTTGCGCTTGCGGCCCTGGGCCGCGATCTTGTCGATGCTGGTGGGGCTGCCGGTGGACGAGTCGGCCTCCTCCAGCCACTTGTTCAGCAGCGGCTTCAGCTTGCACATGTTCTTGAAGCTGAGCTGGAGGGCCTCGAAGCGGCAGATGGTGGTCTGCGAGAAGACGGTGCCGTACAGGGTGCCCAGCGCCAGGCCCACGTCGGCCTGGGTGAAGCCCAGCTTGATCCGACGCTGCTTGAACTGCTTCGCGAACTGCTCCAGCTCGTCCGAGGTGGGCGTCTCGTCGTCCGAGGGCTCCGGGCAGTGGTGGGAAGCCAGCTCCGACGGCTCCGGCGGGGAGTCGCGCAGCACCGGGTGCAAGCCGGGCGGCGGCGGGGGCGCGGCGGCGGGAGGCGGCGGCGTTAAGCCCCCGCCGTGGTCCAGCATGCCGCTGACGGTGAAGCCGGCCTGGGCGTAGACGTTCAGCGGGGGAGGCGGCGGCGGCGGCGGCTGGGCTCCGCTGACCGGCAGCGCCGAGCCGTGGGCCGGCGTGGCCCCCCAGGCGTTGGGGTGGCTGCCGTGGTGCGGGGAATGGTGGCTGACGTGGTGGGGCGAGCGGTGGTGCAGGATGGCGCCCAGCTGCAGGTCTTCCCGCCCGGGCTTCACGTCGGGCTGGTCCAGGGGGCTTCCACCGCCGCCTCCCCCTCCTCCGCCGCCGCCTCCTCCACCTCCTCCTCCGCCGCTCAGAGCCGCCGCCCAGGGCCCCGCGTCGCTCAGGCTGGTGACCCAGTGGTGGCCCAGCGGATGCCCGTTGCCGGCCACCCCTTGCAGGTAGTCACTTTGCAGAAGTTTCTGCGGGTTGCGGAAGGGGCCGCCTTGCTGCATCGCTGCCGACTCGGCGTGGACCAGCGCGCCGGAGTTGAGGATGCTGTAGGGGTTGGTCGCCGCCGTGGCCATGCTCGCTGCCTTGCCTTGGCTTGGCTCGGCTCGGCTCGGCTCGGCTCGGCTCCGGGTCTCTCTCTCTCTTCCCCCCCCTCCCTCCCCGCCTGGCTCTGCTGTGGCAAAGCGGCCGCTCGCTCGCGCCTTTGACAGCTACCCAGCCGAAAGAGACCCGTCTCAGCCAGCGCGCCCTGACCGGCGGGCCCGGCGGCCAATCCGAGAGTCTCTTCCCGCCGGGAAAGGGGGAGGCCGCGGCCAATGACGGCGCGCCGAAGAGGTTGGCTCAACGCCCGGCTCTTCTCTCCCCCCCCCCATCCCTCCCTCCCTCTCCCCCCCCTCTGTCTCCCAGGGAAATAGGCGCAGGCGGAGAGGCCCCCCCCCGAAGGAGCGCGGCGGGAGAAGGGTTAAAACGAGGGAGTCGGCCGGCAGGAAAGGCCGCCGTCGGGGCTTTCTATTGGTTGGCGAGGGCGGGCTGCCCGCGGGGGGGGGGGGCAGGCGGTCGGCGAGTTAACCCTTGCTTGGCTGCGGGGGGGGGGGGAAGAGAGCAACTGGAGAGCCGCTCTGCGCTCCCCGGGCAAGAGCGGAGAGGGGGGGGGGCTCAGAGCCTGGTTTAAATTTGCGGCCGCTGATCCAGGGCAGAGCTTGTGCGTGGCTCTCCCCCCCCCCGCCTCTCTTTCCCGGGACGGGCCGGGCGGGGGGGGGGCGGAGGAGGAGGAGGAGGAGGATGAAGAAGAAGAAGAGAAGAAGAAGAAGAAGAAGAAGAGAAGAAGAAGAAGAAGAAGAAGAATATGAAGAGACGAAGAAGAAAGGGAGGTAAGAGGAGAGAGGAGGAGGAGGAGGAGGAGGAGGAGGCAGGAGTGAGGGGTCAGGAGGAGAGGAAGAGGGAAGAGAAGAGAAGAAAGAAGAAAGAAGAAGAAGACGATGAGCACGGAAGAAGAAGAAGAAGAAGAAGAAGAAGAAGAAGAAGAAGAAGAAGAAGAAGAAGAAGAAGAAGAGGAGGAGGAGGGGGAGGAGGAGGAGGGGGGAGGAGGAGGGGGAGGGGGAGAGGTTAAATACCTGCTCAGAGAACGGCAGCGCCTCCTTTGCCAAGCTGAAGGGGAGCCCTCTGAATGGCTTGAAGTCGACCCGGGGCTGCCAGTCAAAGGGTTGTTCCGGGGGGGGGGGCTTTAACTTAACTGCCGGGATTTACTCTTGCAAAACCAACAGGTGGGGCGGGAAAGGGAAGGGGAAGGGAAGGGAAGGGGGGTCTAGCGGAGAATTAAAAAAAAAGAAACGCGCCCGAGTCAGTTGCTCAGGAGGCTTTGCAAAGTTGCGCCTTGCCAAGAAGCCAGCAAGGGGAGGCGAGCCTGGGCGCTTTTACACAGGTTCCTAGCTGGCTGGATCGGAGTGCGCTGCACACCCATCCACCCATCCACCCGTCCAAGGCAAGGGGAGGGAAAGGAGACCAAGACAGTAGCTGAGTAGGATTTGCTAAGAAGTCCGGAGCCAATTTCTCCTCTGCTTCAAATACAAACTATTTCTTGGGGGGAGGGGAGGGGAAGCAGAGGAGAGAATAAAGTTTGCCCCCAATCCAGACGTCGCCCCCTCCATCCTGCCTCCACGTTTCCAGCTTTCAGAGTAGAAGCGGCTTATCCGGGAAAGCAGCCGGCGCAAGTTTGCAAGTTTGCTCGGCTCGCTCGCACCGAGAGTCCCCCTGGATACCCACGAGGGGTTACCGCGCCTTTTGTTGGTCGGGTCCGTTCAAAATGCGGCGAACCGCCTGCCCGCCCGCCCGCCCGCCCGCCCGCCAGTCCGCCCGCCCGCCCGCCAGTCCGCCCGCCCAGCCCACGGAGGAGTTGGCCAATGGAATCCGTCCGAAAAGTAGCCACTCACCGGATCCCTTTCCAGCTTCGGCCAAAAAACGTGGGATCTTCGTTATTTTCTCCCCTCCGAACATGGCTTTGCACAACACCAAATGTCCAGTGCTGCATAAGTCGAAAGGCCAGGAACAAAATATGGAAAAAAAGAACAAAAGATTACCTAATAATAGTAATAATAATAGTAATAGTAATAATAATAATAATAATAATAATAATAATAGTAGTAACAATAACAAGAACAATAATAATAATAATCAGCAACAACAACAACAATAATAATAACAATAGTAATAATCCGGCGGCAGCTTTGGGTGCAATTCTAAACCATCTGGCGCATCACTTGAATACCACTGGCATTGACAAAATCGCCATCAGTCAATTGCAAAACCAGACTTTTCCCTGGAACAACTTACATCTTGCATCTACCATCAAACAACCTCTGCCTACCCCAGGTCTTTGGGAAGGACTTGATAGGTGGATAAAAATGCCAAGTCCAATCTAAACATCTGACTGACAGTGCGATTAACGAAAATAATAAAACAATAATAATGACAGTGTGTTGTGTTCTCCCCCCTCTAAACGTTCGGCAAAGGAACAGAAATTGCGATGTATTGTGGTGCTCCAGCTGAGAAAATTAAACCTTAACGCTTTGCGAGGAGGGAGGGAGTGGGGGAAGCTAAAGAAATCGCTGGTTTTTTTTATTATTATTTTGAATGACCTTTCATTGCATAATTTCGAGGTAACCTTGCTGCATAATTATATTTGCACTTACAGAACGCTGC